ATCAGTGTCTACAATGAGATTAAAAATTAATGAAAAATTAACCAAACAGCTGGTTAAATTTTCTACAAGTGATTTCTCAGAGATGTTGGTCTGAAAGTGCTGATGGAGGCTACAGCTGTTCAACTTGCCCCTCTCCATCATCACAGCTTTTATTACTAACGTGCTAAATAAGTTAAAGGTTCATATATCACACGTGTTGGTCCAGGTCTTTACTAAGAGAAAACTAATTATGATGATAAATGAGAGTACTTGTTTACTTGCTAATGCTAGCTTTGTTTCCACGCAATACACAACTTGTAACTGATCTCAGGGATTTCCACAACAATGGATTTATGCACAAACAATCAGCTACAAGCTGTTGTCCTCTTAGTTTGACAAGATCCAGCCATGATTAACTGGGCACAGATGTTGATTAGGACACCTACCATATATTGATTTCAGTAGCTCTATAATCAAGCAGTGTCAAGTCTACTTTCAGAGACAATAGCCAATTGTGGCCATAGGATGGCAGTGATGTAAAGGATGGACGCAGACAGTCATGAGTACAGCTTTATGACAGAATGCTGTTTGCGCTGAAACAAGAGTGATTGCTTTACTTTGGTATACTTTAACTGATGTCTGGTTTTTTTTTTTTTACATTTAAGTGGACAAACATTTTGTGCCTTGCTTGGCCTGACAGAATACCATTAGACTCTTCACAAAGCATTTTATTTACCCATCTTCTGCAAATTCTCCAACAAACAACATTTTCCACTCTTAAGATAATTAAAACTTTATCTGAATAGATATTTAGTGACATTTGGCAAAGAAGAGGTACACACAAAGCTAGTGTTAGCTTTCGACAGGAAGATTTATTCTTCCTCAATAAGATTATTCTAATCATGCTGATAAAACTAGAAACAAAAGCACAGCTCTATTCAGTATTTTCCAATGACGAACAAATATACCAAAAAAAAAACCAAAAAACTGCCTGCCTTCACTTTATCACAGCACCTGACTCAGGTAAGGTTTCTGATTAACACTGCTCTCAAATGAGATTATGACTATAATGAAATGACTATGATATTTATTTTACATTATCTGTTGTGCTTTGTTTAAATGTCAAAATTCACTGGGGAAATCTTTAAATAATTTATCTTTTATATGTGATTTAAAAACAAATCTGAATTGCAAAACATCTGAACAGTCATGCAATATACATAAACGGAAACGTTAAGTTTGTTTTTTCATGTTACCATAGAAATACCGGAAGTGTTTCCGTGGCAGAGTCTATTGTTGAGACAGTTCTGCATCAATACGATACGCAAACATAGAAAGCAGAACTCCGTAAACATGGGTGTTGGTGAGTATTTTAACACACGTATTACTTTAAAATAACGATACTCATGTGTTTAATGGTGTGGCGGTGCCATGATGATAGCAAATGTTGGTGCTGATGTGAGCTTTGATGTTGTGTTTCAGGGACGATCGTTGCTGTTGCAGGGGGAGCAGGTAAGGCTTTGGACGGTCTGTGTGGTCACCGGGGTTCAACCTACCCACGGTATCTCTCTGTTATGTTGATCCACTACCCTTTACCGCAGTCAGGAGAAGCGGTCACACAAAGCTGGGTGTCGGCTTGATAAGCTAACCCAGGGCTTGATTGGGGCTGACGCTTGACAGGGATTGTTTTTGGCAGCATGTAAACAATTTACCACCAACAGGGAAAAGAAAAATGTCAAGGAATAAAGTGAACTGTAAGAATATAGATTTATTACAGATGCTCCTAAGGGAAAGCACCAAAACTTTAGAGGTCTGAGGGATCTTCTAGTGACGCTATTTTCAGAAAACCGATTAGTCAGCAGGCGTTGTTTCATACCTGCTGATCCTTAGTCATAACTTGAACCCTGTGGAATGCATTGCATTGTAACTAATGCTCTCAAATGAAATATAAAGAATATGCATGAAATCACCACCTACTGACCAATACATCATCCAGACAATAGGGTCACTGTTCATAGGAAGTCCCTCAGACCTCTGTGAGTGGACAGTAGGAGGATCTAATGTTTTTGTGTAAAGTCTTCATTTTTCCCTGATGTTATTAATAAATGTAGATCTTTAAATACAACTTTATTACTTTACGTTTTCCTGTTGGAAGCAAATGTTTTACAACATTTTCTTTGTTCTCCAGCAATAATACATGATTGTGAAACAGGACACAAACTTGTACTTGCTGACCTTGATTATAATCATCAGGTTCTCCTGTGCCTCAAACACAGAACTGTGATATTGAATCTATAAACTTACACAGCTTTCCTGGCTTCAAATAGGCCAGAATTTATTCATATAATGTGTATTTTCCAGTCATGCTGTCCAAAGTCCTTTGAAGGCACAAACATTCATAAAGCACTTTTAATACTAAACTACTGTAAATTACTTTTTCCTCTCACACTTACACTTCACAACAGCACCAGCCCTTTTATGTGAGCGAGAAGGGTGAACCCTGGATTAACATAATTTGTTTCATAACAGCTTAATGTGACCACTTATCCAGATTGCCAGTGTTGGGCTAAGTGAATCCAGATAACTGAAAGATACCCTGGATATGCTAAACTTGCTTTAACATGTAAAGCGAGCCCAGGATAAGATGTAAACCTGCCTTGTACCTCAGGCCTCTGCTTATATAAAAACTTTTTACATGGCATATCATTTGTAACAGTCACACTGATGCTGGTGTTCTCGTCCATGTGCAGTAGGTGCAATGGCCTTGGCTCCTGTTGCTCTGGGGGCCGTAGGTTTCACCTCAGCTGGAATAGCTGCAGGCTCCTACGCTGCAAGCATGATGTCTGCTGCTGCGGTGGCTAATGGAGGGGGAGTGGTAGCTGGAAGCATGGTGGCTGTTTTGCAGTCAGCAGGTAGGCTTGTTGTCTGACTTTACTGTGGTTTCATCAATAGTGCTGTATACATTCACTTTATTAGGAACCTACAGTGGCCCTGAGAGGCCAAACGGACCGCAACTTAAGAAAACAGCAGCAATAAGAAAAACGCTGCAAAAGCATACAAAACACAACGGAAATAGGAAAAACTAAAACAGAAATAGGAAAATGATTTTCCAAAAGCACAAGGGAAGTGCTTTTGGAATTCTTAGCATATTTTGCAATTCTTAGCAAAATATGCTAAGAATTGCGCTGGGAGACCGTCGGGTTATTGTCTCCCCAGAAACACTTCCCTTGTGTTTTTGGCTATTTCTGTTTTAGTTTTTCCTATTTCCATTGTGTTTTGTGTGCTTTCGTAGCGTTTTTCTTATTGCTGGTGTTTTCTTAAGTTGCAGGCCATTTGGCCTCTCAGGGCCACCGTAGGAACCAAAGCAAAGGTGACCCTTGCTCCTGTTGGTGGTGACCAGTATATGTATACTCGGGGACTGAATAATTCAATACAAATGACTGATAACACATTTACAAATGTACACACTGATTCAGCTTAAAGTCTATTTACAGACTTAAATGGGGACAGCCTTAGTGTCCTGTGTTGTGTTATAGGACACAGCCTTAGTGTCCTGTGTTGTGTTACAGGGCTAAGCTTGTGGTGTGGGGCGATCGTGCCTCAAGAGTTGGCAGTTTGTCTTGTAATCAGAAGGTTGCCGGTTCGAGCCCCGGCTCCGACAGTCTTGGTCGTTGTGTCCTTGGGCAAGACACTTCACCAATTGCCTACTGGTGGTCAGAGGGCCCGGTTGCGCCAGTGTCTATGTGTGGCTACAATGTAGCTTGCCATCACCAGTGTGTGAATGGGTGGATGACTGAATGTAGTGTAAAGCGCTTTGGGGTCCATAGGGACTAAGTAAAGCGCTATACAAATGCAGGCCATTTACCATTTACCAGACCCTTAAAAGGACTTTAGTGCCTACAACATGAGTGAGCAGCTGACAGAAAAGAAGTGTGGTATTGGTGTATTTTTTTGTATTTGTATTGTATCTTTATTTCAGACATATACAGAAAAAAAACAATATATACACACGTACACATACTTGCATTTACAAATACGAATATATATGTAAATACACACACGTATGTGCGCAGATAAAACAAAAAAAGAAAATAAATAAAATAAAACAGAGTCTAAATGACTCTGTTTTATAAGCCCTGTATAAGCCATAGGGCTTTTTTTTTTTTAGTTTATGAAATCTGACACCACTAGGGGACAGTGATGCCACTATTAGGTGGCAGTCAGTTGTTTTGATTCCTGATAAAGTTATAAGCAAACTCAGCTGCTTGACTTGATGCAACATATTGAAGCTGTGAATATTTTCCCTCCTCCCTCTTGAAGGTGCAGCTGGGCTGTCGGGGGCTGCCACTGCAGCTGTGGGCGGTGTTGGAGCTGCTGCAGGAGCAGGACTGAAATTGCTGGCAGGTGTCATACGGAAATAAAAAATGTAAATAATCTCACATGGCAAATTCTAATGATATTTGTTGCCACTGCACTTCCTACTAATGAGCATTGTTGTGATGTCAGAAATATGAGTGATACATTTTTTAACTGTTTCAGTGAATGAGTGAAAGTGTTTCTGTGTGTCATTTCAGTGCACCAAAAAGTAATTCCACAAATTCAGTGTTGTAAAAATTTCAGGATTTAACGAAATTTTTTGGTCATACCACGTTACTGAAGTGTTTAAACTAAAGAGTGTTCTAGTGTTTATTCATTTAAGGTTCAAAATAAAGGAAGATATTAAACCAGAGTGAAGAGTTATCATTTTTGAAGATGTGCTGTACATTTGTCGTTCTGACAGCTTTGCCACTGATCATTTCAGGTGTAGGAATGGAAACTCACTAAACCCTTTCCTTCCTTCTCTAAGCAATATTTTACTTTGTTGAAAGATCTAAATAAGAGTAACTGAAATTAACTTAATTAAAATGCATTTCAAAGTTTCTGCTGGCTCCAGTGTTTTTAAAATTTGTAATGGTACAAAAGATTATTTAAAGATTTAACCCTCACAAAATAAACTGTAATAACACAATCCCCCCCCCCCCCCTTTTTTTTTAAGGATGTGCAGATGTTTTTTAATGTTCTACACTAAAATTTTCATATCAATTGATTACTTTATTGTAGGAAATTGTAGTTCTAAATTTCAGAATGGTGTTAATGCCTTTGTCTTCACTAAGGTGAGTCTGATTTATTTAGTTTTTAGCATTCAGGTGCTCGTGTTTTGATTTCTTAAAGCCTTGCACCCGTTTCCATAATCTTACCAGCAGATAAGCTCAGTGCATGTATTATGAGGAGTCTTTCTGTGGAGATTATTGTAAACTTTCTGGAAACTGAGGCATTCGTGGGCTCTATAACTCATTCTACTTTCTTTGCTTTCCGTGTTTTTGCATAGCACTGGGTGAAGCTGGTATTTGATCCCCTACAACCCAGTCAGAATTTTGGCACATTTTCTGGACTTTTATGGAGTGGTTGATATTTCTGCATTACATTATGATGTTTAAAATAAAAACAACTATGCTTTTATTTTGCATGGATTTTTATTTTCACATTAAATTCAGAAAATGCATCGTATCAGTCTTGGGTTCAGATCAAACAGCTTCAACAATGATACCTAAAAATGATGCATTCAAAATAGCAGTAATCTTAATCCACCATATATTTAACTTAATTTTCAAATTTTGCTTTGAAATTATAGACGCCATCAGCTGTTTGTTATTCATGTGTAAAGCTTTTATGCTATTCTTTTTGTTGCTTCTCTGTACAGTATATGATTTGCATTATATCTGTTTTATATATTTAAATATGTAAGCAATTTTCTTTGCAACATCTAAATAATATTGTTTAAATAATTTACTAATTAAATCAAAATATCTGGTTTACCCCAGGACTGCAGGGTTGCTATGAGACCTCCTGCTGCAACTCCTCCTCCATTAGCAACTGCAAAATATGACATCAGTTTGGCAGCGATGGAGCCTGCTGCAATTCCAGCTGGAGTGAACCCCAGTGCAGCCAGAACGGCTGGAGCCAGAGCCACAGTGCCAGCACCCCCTGAATATTATTTTATATATATATTTAAAGATTTTCACATAAAAAGTAAAAATAACCAACCTTAATTACAAATAGGTTTATTGTAAAATGTAAATAAAAACAGAAGACAGTGATGTCCTGCCATGAAATTTAAAATGAGCTAATGTCATTTCTTGAAATAGTAAAATGTTTTAGTTGTTCAACTGTAAATAAAGTTTACGTTTATAAGACTTGCATTGCATTGTGGGTTGCGTGAAAGCGGTGAATCACGTCATCTGACAGCTTACCTCCGACTATAACGACTCCCTTACCTGTTATTGAAAGACAAAGAGTGAACAAAAATGCGCATGGAGTAAGAAATTCATTAAATTACACTGCATGAAAAATAATTAATAACATAAACAGTAAAATATGAAGGATTTACATATTTCTTCCCAGTCCATGATATGTCCACATTCAGATGATACAGAGAGTGATGGATATCCACAGTGCAGTGGTATATTTTGTCCAGTGCATCCCCTCCTGCCTTTTTATATTTATTAATAGAAGTTTCACTTTCATTTCTCAGTAAATGATACTACCTGCCCACACGTGAACAGCAGCACCGGACAAAATACACCACTGCACTGGGGTCGCAATTTCAAGAGGTTGTGTGAGCAATTCCTCAGGTTAGAAGAAGGTTGATTTCAGCTCCCAAATTCCAATTAAAGTCAAAAACCACAAAAATCACAGGAGAACAGCAGAGGTCTATGCCAGTTGTTTTATTCAACAGTGAAGTTCAGCAAAAAGAAGGAAACGCAAAAGCTCCCCTAGGGTGTTTGCCGTAGGCGCATGCAGGTTGGGACCAACCCCAACGGACAGACAGCAGGGAAAAGCCCTGATGACTCTTCTGTCCCCTTCTTACGGGCCAGTAACCCCACCTCCTGCTGCTGGGTAACTTTCCACTTGTCCTCCAGCCAAAAACAGCAGAGCAGGGTCGGGTACCGACCAAGGTCCAGGCAGGGGCCAGTCAGGACTCTGGCTAAGGGCCGTCTGCAGAGGGGCACCCTTTGATTAACCCTTTGCTTTGCCTTATCACAATTGGTCACATCATGGTCAAAAGTCACACATTAACATACATCAGCAAGTGGCATAATCTTACGACATTACTTCTGACTGCAGACAGGTGTTGATTTTGCTACATGCAAACAAATATCTTATGATGTTTATAGCAGATATGCGGTATACACGTCATTCAAAAAATCCACAACAACTATGCTGCTTCTGGGTAAATATATTATCATTGTATTAGTATTTAGTTACTTGTATTTTTCTACCATACACAATAGTAGAGACATACATTTGCATAGCCCATAAAGTCCATACAAGCTCTGCATAATAACCTGTCTTTTGTTCATTTATAGTTCAGGCAAAATCACAGAAATACACCACTTAATGTGTGAAAGCATAATAAATGAATGGATGGATGTCAACCCCCTGAGATCCAACCTCAGAATCACTTTCACTTCCCAAGAAACAACAGCTGACCCTCACACTTGTATATAAGGCACAGTCGAGTCTTAGGCTCCTCATCCTGTGTGAGATAATGGGTCTAAGTGAGTACAGCTGCCTTTTTGACATCGTCTATAGCGACATCATATAAGCTCATGATTATAGCGTCACAGAAAATGTCTAAATAATTCCAGCTGGGCTGAGGTAAGATGTTTTTTTCTTTCTTTCCTGTGTTTCAGTGACAGCTGCAGCGATCACAGCTGGGGCAGGTAAGACACTTAACCTTACTTTGTTTTTGTTTTTTTAATCACTCAAGCTCATAGGAGAAGTCATAGTAGATATCATACATCACTGCTAAATTGCTTTAATAAAATATCCTTTATTCACAAAGTCTAAATTGTGGATGTCCCCCTTTTAATTCTTTGTGAAACAGTAAAGGTAGAAATCTTTGTGTAAATAGCTTTTACAAGTTATTCAAGTCATTTAAAAGTAACAGACCCTTGGAACTTAGTCGTGGAAGCCACTAAAATGAACCCAGTTAATTACCAAATGCACAGATGTAGAGGGGAGCTGCCATAACAGGTGTGACTGGTAAAACTGGTCCAGAAGGCTACTCAGGACCCATTTGTTTGTTGTTGTTTTTTTTAATAAGGAGGGAGTAGACAACTAGAGAGCTTTTGAGGCAGTTAGAACAGGGTGAGTTACCTTCATCATCGGCTCCATCTAGGCTCTACACTGCGTATTGGGTAAGGCCCGAAGGATAAATGACTAGACATTTAAACTAAGAGCTGATCCAGACTTCCTGTATTGGGGTGCTGGTTCCACAGATAGACACACGTCATTATGCTGCAGTGAGGATAAAGCTTTCCCTTCTGTTGGATTCTACCTCAAGGTCAACTAAAACACTTGAATATATATTTGAATATATTTAAATCTACCAGGCGCTCCTGCTGTTTCCTCTCTCTGTTTGTTTTGTTTAAAACAAAGAGAGAGAACAAAACAGAAAATATATTACCTGAGAACTACAAGGTTGCTATGACACTCACTGGAACTGCACCTCTGTAAAATATAGCAAAATATGACATCAGTTTGGAAGTACTGGATCCTGCTGCTATTCCACTTGAAAAGAACCTCAGTTCAGCCAGAACAGAAGGAGTCAGAGCTAGTTTCCACCTGCAGTCCTCGGGGGAGGTCAAAGAGACATAAAAACATAAAAACATGAAATGAATGAATCATGTGATGCTTACCTCCTAGGTAACATGCACTGGAAAAAATACAATACTGCAATGTGGTACTTTTGGGTATAATTACTGTAAATTTATTTGTATTTATTTTTTCTTACCATACATAATAGCATAGAAATACATTTGCAATGACCCAAGTGAAGTCCATACAAGCTCTCCATAACGAATTGTTTTTTTTTTTTTAATTTAGGCAGGGTGATTAAGTAACTTCCTCTCTTGCAAAGTCCCTGAAATACTTCAGTAAACCTCACAATCACTTGTTCCAAAATGACTGAGGAAGCATTGTTTACTTCACAGACCCAGTGACGCCCACTCTAAGAGTTTCGTTTCCTAGGAATAACAGCTGACCCTCCCACTTGTTTATAAGGCACAATCCAGTCTTAGGCTTCTCATCCTGAGTGGAATAATGGGTCTATGTGAGTACAGCTGCCTTTTTATATTATCTATATAAGCTTATGATTGTAGCATCACAGAAAATGTCAAAATATTTACAGCTGAGCTGAGGTAAGATGTTTTTTTCTGTCTTTTTTTGTGTTCCAGTGACAGCTATAGCAATCGCAGCTGGAGCAGGTAATACAGCTGTTTGGTTTTTTATTTATTTATTATCACTCAGGCTGGTAGAAGTTGCACATATCATACACGTATTCATTTCGAAGCATCCTGATGATCAGTAACCAGGTGTTTCTTCCTGTTGTCAGGTGGAGCACTGGTGTCTGCTCCTATTGTCCTGGGGGCTGTAGGTTTCACCTCAGCTGGAATAGCGGCAGGCTCCTACGCTGCAAGCATGATGTCTGCAGCTGCTGTGGCCAATGGAGGAGGAGTGGCAGCAGGAAGTCTGGTGGCTGTTTTACAGTCAGCAGGTAAAAAAACAAAAACAAAAAAACCCTTAGTATGATATACCGGACAGGCCTTATAAACAATAACATGTCGCTGTGTTGCAGTGAGGATAAAGCCTCCCCCTCTTCTCTGTAGCTCAGTTACTTGATCTAACTGCTCGATCAGCTGTCTGGTGTTCTGAAGCCTGTTTTCTCTCTGCAGGTATGGCAGGTCTGTCTGGGGCCGCCACCGCAGCCGTGGGCTCTGTTGGAGGAGCTGTGGGATTTTTGGCTACTCTCATCTGAGACCAGGAAATTATGATAATCAGAAAGAAAAATAATAATAACAAAGAATATAATTACTGTTGTTGGACAGTTGCCAAAAGTATCAGCGTCATGCTTCAGTATGGCTTGGCTGAAATGTGAGTGCTGGTAATGCTGTGGTGTTTTATTACGAAACACATGAACACGGTCAAATTGTGCAACTTAGAATAAAGCCCTAATAATGAAAAGCATTTTAAAGTTGTGTTCACACATGATACAAATAATTTCCTTTTCCACTGCATAATTATGCACTGATAACAAAGTGATATCTTATCATCTCAGACATGTTAAAAACGTTGATGGTCTGCCCAAAATGATTTCTGCTATATAAACTGTTGGAAATAAATTGCTGACATTTAATCTGTCAAACACATCTGAAACATGTCTCTCATTAATGACATCTGAGCAGTTTTGTGCCAGAAAGAACATTCCAGTCAAAACCATGCTCCAGTTTGTGTCGCTCTCTGTCGCCCTCTGTTGTTCAGCTGTGAACATAAAGTTTTGTTTCTGAGGAAATGAAACCTTGCTTGCTATAAAAATCAGCCCGTTTCAGAGCAGACAGAGCAGATAAAACATGGACCCTGGTGAGCCATTCGTCTTTGATAGAAACCAGCTGAGCTATGGCCCAGTGTTCTTATGTTGTGTTACAGCAGTGGTTACCAATTTCTTTTGCTAGGACCTCGCTTTGTTTTACAAGAAAATCGTCCCCCCGCATAAACACATCCTCCAACCAGTTTTCAAACTCCTTTGCAGTTTATTCCACACCTCAAACCTTTTGTAAACAATTAAACAAATAAAAGTTAACTGCAATAAATTACAGGTTGCAATTAAATAAACCACTACCTCTTTTAAAAATCAGAAAAACAAAAGATCTTTAATTATTTTACATATAGTACATATTGTTTTTTTAATATATACAGGGCTGGACTGGGACAAAAGTTGGCATGGGCATTTTGACTAGAGACCGCCCCACCAGGTATTACAGGAAACGCCATAAAGTCTTTGAATGAAAACAAACGCTGTCGTGACAGTGATGTCTGTCTTGATGGTATATGTATGATTTCTATACATTTTATATCAGATAAAAACTTTAGTTGTAAGATCCAGATAATTATTTATTAAAAGCGAGACATTTAAAATGAGAATAAGAAAGAAAAGTATTTCTTTGTGCCCCCCTTTCCCTGTTAATGCCCTACCTGACCCCCTGGCAAAACTGTGCTAGACCCGCCTCTGCACAGTTACCAGCTGTCAGCTACGTTAAAAAAAAAAGGATCCTGGTGTTATTTGTCTCTCAGAAACGGTTCATAACTTCCCTTCAGCTCATTCATGTCATATATATATATCTATATATACAAAAAAAAAAAAGAAAAACACCCAGCACGCCCCTGCGGGCGGTTTGTCCTTCAAGCTCGGGTCCTTTACCAGAGGCCTGGGAGCTTGAGGGTCCTGCGCAGTATCTTAGCTGTTCCCAGGACTGCGCTCTTCTGGACAGACGTCTCCGATGTTATTCC